ACTTATATTTTGTTGCCTTATACCATACATTAAATAACTGACTTCATCTAAAAGATCTTGACGGCTTTCAGATTTTCCATTTTTAAAACTAGTCAGGCAAGACATTGAATCTGAACAGATAACTACATTTCTAGGCTTCACCTCCAGCACCCATTGCAATGCCAAAATAATTGCCAACATCTCTGCTAAAAAAAATGAGAAATGATCTGTTGTTCTTCTCTTGATAGAAATATTTTCTTTTGGAATATATACTGCTACTCCTGTTTTACCATTTTCCTCTTTTGATGCATCTGTATATATATATGTATATACACATATATATGTATATATATGTGTCATATTTTCATACCTTACTTCTAAATGCTGCTGAATAATTTGATACGAACCTCCACAAGACTGTTCTATTTTTTTAGTTTCTAAATTTACTTTTGGCATTTCGAAAAACCATGGAGCAATTTTAGATGTACTTACAGTTTTACAGTATGCTATATTACTTATCCCAGAATACTCTGCATAAATATTTCCTTCCCATCCAAAACTCCTTATATTATGGCCATATTCCCAACATTCTCTGAATATCTGTTTAGTTGGGTGATTTTCCTCATGCCCTTGTAAATTTAACCAGTAATTTATTGACAATTTCATCCTCCTCAAGTCCAGTGGCATTTCCCCAGTAATCACTTGAAGAGCAGGAATTGGAGATGTTCTAAAAGCACCACTACATATCCTAAGCGCTTTGGCTTGGATTCTATCTAGATCTAACAACAAAGAATTTGCAGCTGATTTATAAACAATACATCCATAGTCCAACACAGATCGAATTAAAACATCATATATTCTTTTCAAGGATGAGCTAGTTGCCCCCCAGTCATTCCCTGACAAACATTGCAATATATTAATACATTTTTTACATTTATCAATAATCTTCTGCATATGTATCTTAAATGAAAGTTTTTCATCAAACCATAAGCCAAGGTACCTTATCATATTTCCCTGTTTCAATTTATGCCCATATAATCTAAGATGTGGCTCCAGACCGCTCCGCTCTGAGTTTCTTGGAGATTGTAGAGAGCATGCGCGAGATGAACCAGGGTTTCCGCGGATCATTAAAAATAATTACAATTCATTCATTTTTTTTTTAATCAAGGCCTTAATTGGCACTAAAATTATTTAAATATGTTTATCGAAGTATTTATAATTCTTTAATAAAAAATGCTTATAAAAACAATTTCGTCAGATATATTATATCGCTCCAGGCGGAGAAAAAGCTAGAGGATATATATATATACGTATATATGTGTGTGTGTGTGTGTTTACATACATACAGGAGTCATGGAACTCTGCTTGCAGCTCCTTCATATTTCATGTACACTAATAACTTGTGTAC